TTGATTTTCTTTTTTTTTTTTTTTTTTTTTGAGATGAAGACTTGCTCTGTCGCCCAGGCTGGAGTGCAGTGGCACCATCTCTGCTCACTGGAACCTCCGCCTCCCGGGTTCAAGCGATTCTTGTGCCTCAGCCTCGGGATTACAGGTGCCCACCACCACACTGGGCTAATTTTTGTACTCTTAGTAGAGGCAGGGTTTCACTATATTGGCCAGGCTGGTCTCGAATCCTGACCTCAAATGATCCACCTACCTGGGCCTCCCAAAGTGCTGGGATTACAGGCAGGGGCCACCGCACCCAGCCAATGGCTTTCTCTTAACAAGTGAAAAGTAATTCCTGAATTAGGTTAGATAACCTATGAGGTCTCTTCTGTCTCTACCACTATTTGATTCCACTTAGTTAAATATAAATTGAGTAATTAGTAACATACTTCTGGGACTATGTTAAACTCAGGTAGTTAAGGCACCATTTTGCGTTCAAGTGATGTCATAAAATATCTAAATAGTACTCAAGCAGCCTGAGGGAGTTGATGTTATTTAACAAAGACTCATATAGTGCTTACTCTATGCCCAGCATTGTTCTAAGCACATTATAAATATTAACTCATTTATACAGTTATTTTCAGTATATTTACTAAGTACTTATGAATCTTAAAGATTATGTGAACATTTACCAGTGAACTAAAGTACACAGCTACAGTCACGTGCTCTTTGAAATTAAAATTATTCATTCTAACAATTAGGATTATCTGACAATAACATGAATCTGGTCAGTTACCTCTCCTAAATGAAATCCTGTGACTGCCTTCAGGACAAATTCCAAATTCCTCAGCAAGTCACGAAAGTGCCGCAGCATCTACTCTTTGCTTTCCTGTTTTATCTTATCTGTCCCTGAATTCTTTACTATTTGCAATTAACAACAACACATCCTGATTCCCATGTACCTATGTACTTACTGCTTCTTTGGTTGGATATGCTCAACATTCCTTTTAATGTAGCAATTCCAAACTCACCCTCGAAACACAGCTTCCCCAGACAGCCCACCCTGACTGCTCGCCTGGGTTAAGTACTAGCCTTCTCTGCCTCCACCAGCCTCTGTGATCACCTCCAGAAAATCATAAGGCAAAGTATAATTGTTTAGTCACCCATTCATCTTCCACATCTTTAAGAATTCCTTAAAAGCAAAACTGTGTCTTTTATCTCTAAATGCCCACGGTCTTGCATAAAAATTAGTACAGAGTAGGAACACAAGTAAATAAATGCCTTTTAGGCCAGGCATGGTGGCTCACGCCTATAATCCCAGCACTTTGGGAGGCCAAGGTGGGCAGATCACGAGGTCAGGAGATTGAGACCATCCTGGCTAACACTGTGAAACCCTGTCTCTACTAAAAATACAAAAAATTAGCCAGATGTGGTGGCACGTGCCCGTAGTCCCAGCTACTTGGGAGGCTGAGGCAGGAGAATCACTTGAACCAAGGAGGTGGACCTTGCAGTGAGCCGAGATTGTGCCACTACACTCCAGCCTGGGCAACAGAGTGAGACTCCATCTCAAAAGAAAAAAATAAAATAAATAAATAAATAAAGATCTTTTAAAGAACAAATCAACAAATGTATATAAGCTTTTTGAGTTCACAGAAAATCACCCTGATTTTACTTATGAAGCAGAAAGGAAGTTGATAAAAATATCTATGGGTGGCTAGGCATGGTGGCTCACGCCTATAATCCCAGCACTTTGGGTGGCCGAGGTCGGAGGATCACCTGAGGTCAGGAGTTCTAGACCAGCCTGGCCAAAATGGTGAAACTCTGTCTCTACTAAGAATACAAAAATTAGCTGGGCATGGTGGTGGGCGCCTGTCATCCCAGCTATTCAGAAGGATGACATAGCAGTATCACTTGAATCCAGGAGGTAGAGGTTGCAATGAACTGAGATCACGCCATTGCACTTCAGCCTGGGTGACAGAGCAAGATTCCATCTCCAGAAAAAAAAAAATCTATGGGGTTCTAGAATTAAAATGCCATAAATTAGATCTATTTAAGTATTAGAGAAATAACAAGGGCCATAAAAAATCAACTTATGTTTTTCGATCCAATCGTTGCTCTTAGGGAAACTAGAAATGCCAATAGTACAAGAAAACTCCTCTGTTTCCTAACTGTAGGAAAAGTTGGCTTAAGATAAATAGGTCTTTACGATTCTGTCAGATCTGGTCCTAGTTGTCAATGATTTCCACCTGTAGTTGAAGCAGCATGGTAAACTGCAGTGGCTCCCAGGTGATACAGACATCAACATGTACTATGTCTACCTTACTATGTGCTAGGCACTGGGATAACGTTTTGTAATAATTACTGTAAGATGGTATCATCGTTTTCATTTCTGACTTGAATTAATAATCTATTCATACTGTTAAACCTAAATCCTACCAATTCATTCATACTTCACCAAAAACCAGTCATTCTTCTCTATTGTGAGGTTTATTGCCATAGGAAGTAGAAGCTCTATGAACCCAAGACAGCTTCCAACCCACGTCAAGAGTCCTGTGAATCAAAAAACTGCATAAGTGGTGCTCCATAAATGGGGAGAAAAGGAGGACTGACCTCCTCCACTTTTCAAAAGTGGTGGTCTTTCACCAACACAGAAAAGGCAAGGGGTACACAAAGACATTTCCAGCATGAGTCAGAGATTCTGTGAGTTTCCAGGTTCAATCCTGTCATTTTATTTTTCTGTATCTCTATTTCCCTCAGTCTCTCTTCTTCTCCTAGAAAGTCTTTGTGAATTGTTTTAAAGCACTGGTTACAACAGCAAAATCTTGACTCTGAGAAACTCTACAGGATAAAAGCCTCTATGTCTTTACTGAAAAAAACTGCAAGGGGAAAAAAAATTGAGGTGAAAAACCATACATTAAAAGACTTTTTAGAAAACAAAAAAACAGGCCAGGCCCCACAACTCACACCTGTAATCCCAGCACTTTGGGAGGCCAAGGCCGGCAGATGGTTTGAGCCCAGGAGTTCAAGGTCAGCCTATGCAACATGGTGAAATCCCATTCTTACACACAAAAAAATTTTAATTAGCTAGATAAGGTGGCACATGCCTGTAATCCAAGCTACTCAGGAAGCTGAGGTGGAAGGATCACTTGGGCCCAAGAGGTCAAGGCTGCTGTGAGCCATAATCACGCCACTGCACTCCTGTCTGGGTGACAGAGTGAGACTCTGTCACAAAAAATAAATAAATAAACTAATTACAATCTACAAACATTATCTGGGTCCTGGTCCAGACAAACTTACTTAAATATATACTCTAAATATATACTCTCTCTCTCTATATATATATACACACACACATATATACACACACACACAAACATTCACACACATACATACACATATATACATATATATTTACGAGAACTGGAAATCTGAAAAACAGGATATTTGATAGTAGTAAGAAATTATTCTTAATTTTTGAAAATACAATAACACGGTTGCATTTTTAAAAGAATCCTTACCATTTAGTGGTACATTCCTATAGCTTTTATGAATGAAATGATATGATTTGCTTCAATACAATACAGGGAGGGAAAGAAAATAGAAAAAAAAAATAGGTAGAGTATAGACAAAACAAGATTGGCCATGAGTTGCTAATCGTTGGAGCTGGGGGTTCATTAACTTATCCTACTGTTTTGTGTGTTTGAAATTTTTTATAACAAAAGGTTGCAAATGGGTGTGAAAATATTCTTCCACAGAAATAATCTTAATTGATTGAAAAATATGATGACATAGGGAAACTATGGCCCCTGCTTCTTCAGTTTTACCATTGAAACGAGTCAAAATGGAAAAGGAAAATAGGCATTTACCAAATATTAATTCACGTACAAGAATCCTTCATTAAAAGCTTAAAATATTAGGATTTTCTACTAAAACAATCTTTGATGCATATTATGTAGCCCTTTAATTTCCCACCTTCTATTAACAAAATTTTTACAGTACCAACTATTTGGCTACAAATACAGATTTAAATAATATTTTCTATTTTTACTTATTTCACACATACAGATAAGTTAGTATAATTACCACATCATCAAGATATGTCTTAAAGCACTGATGAATGTATCTACACATATGAAAAGGTTTGGCTTGCCTTTGCTTCAGTCAAGTTTACAAAAATTTTCAAGTACATGAACAAGTCCTATCTTAAAATGTACTTACAGGTGGGTGGAACTGCCTGATAAGCTGATGTGTAGAAATGAAAAAATACACAGCCCCAGAAGTATTTACTTAAATTTGTCAATAAAGTCACAATAATTTTCAGGCATATCTGTGAATGTATGATCTTGATTTAAACACAGATACAGTGATAAAACTAGATTTTTAAAAACATAATTTATAAATGCTCAAAGAACAGCACAGCCCTAATTAAACCAAGAGAACTGCTACTAATAAAGAAAGTGCGAGGAGGACACCTTTTCTAGAAGGCAGAGGTGAATGGGCATATCTCTGGTGTCCATAAATGTGAGCGAATAGAACCTTAAAGTTCTGCTTGCTTTTACAGTTTGGGTTTCTTAAGACCGTCTAGCCTTGCTTTTTTCCAATTCCTTCTTACAGTGTCAATCTTGGGTTAAATCACTTACGAAGTCTCTTTGAGGAGTAAAACAACAACAACAATGATTCAAACCCTGCCCAAATACTACCTCCCTTCTCCCTATGCACGCCTGGCTTTTGCTTGACAGATGTCAGAGGGCTCTCCGCCCCTTCTCTCAGGTCACCGCACTGCTGAAGGCCCCCCGCACAAACTCCCCTCGGGCAAAGCCCTCGGCCTGTGGTTATTTTGGTTATTTTTTGTACCCTTTTCCCCTTCTTTTTTGCACAGGGAGCGCCATGCATGACTCGCATCGGGACTGAGCTCATTTCACCCAAGAAGACATGGGGTCTCCAGGGCAACCGAGCGCAATCGTGGGGTCTCGGGTGGGCCGGGTGGCGCGGAGGACCACCTCCCGGACCCAGCCTCTCACCTGCCGGCCGCCGGGGTCGCCCCGCACCCGCGTGTCGAGCGCATCGTGCCGAGTTTCGTCTTCACCGCCGGAGCGGTAGATGAGGCGCAGCGGCACGATGCTCTGGCGCTCCAGGAAGCGGTTTTCCTTCCTCTTCTCTAGCTCCATCAATGAGGCGTCTCCTCCAGGCAGGAAGGGGGAAAGGAGGGAATGGAGAGAAAAGGCAAAAATAATGACCCTGACCCGCACTCCTCCATCCTGCGGTCCTACGTCTCCCCTACTAAAATCCCCACCTCCCCCTCCCTCTCGGAACCCATCTGGGAAGGACGCAGAGACACGAGCCGGAGAGCCTTGGACCAGTTCATCCGAGAGCATCCAGGAGCGGGGCCCAGAAGCAAGGCACCCCTTTCCCATTCTCCCCATTCCTCTTCAGAAGGAGAAAAACAGGCTTTGACCCAAGGCTTCTAGTGCATCTGCGCGCCCCCACACATATATTTTTGCTTCACTTCTTACCACCCTCCCGAATTTAAAAAAAAAAGAAAGAAAGAAAGAAAAAAATCTCCCCGCGCACTCGGGAAATGGGAATGCCCCCTTTTCAATACGCCTGAGGGCTCCAAAGATTCCCGGGAAATAGTATGGCCCGAAGGCACAGAGGGCGGTTAACTTACCTGCCTGGCCGCAGCGCGCCGGGGGGCAGGTCCCCAGAGCGCAGAGCAGCAAGAAGAGCACGGACACAGCCACCGCCGCCTGCATGGTGCTGCCGTCAGCCCGCCTCGCCCGAAACGCTCAGCTCCTCATGCCGGGGCCGCCGAGTCCGTTTCCCTCACTCCGCGCCCCTGGGCTCCCCACGGCCACCTCCTCCCAGCCCCAGCCGGTGCTGCGGCGGCCGTGGCGCTGCAGCCTCCACCGCGGCTTAGTGCTGCATTGTGCTCCGCGGGCGCTTCCGCTGGCGGGGGGAGCGAGCGAGTGCTGCATTGGGCGGTTGGCTGTAGCTAAGTGGTTTCTAGCGCCTCCCACCTCATCCCCTGGCAAAGGCTCGGGCGGGCGACAAGCGCTCGGCAGGGAGCGAGCGCCCGGTGCACTCGCCCCCCGCGCGCAGGCAGGGGCGCGCGCAGGAGAGTCAGCTGGGAAATGTAGTTCTCTCTCCGCGTCCAGCTTGTCTCCACGACGGCGCGGACTGTCGCGACCTCGTGACTGTGAGGTCCTCTATGTCCCTCAGACTGAAGGGGCGGGAGGGAAGGGCAAAAGAAAGAGGTCAGCACTGGACGGGCTCTTGGCATCCGAGATGCACCAACTGGGCAGTTACAACAGCCGGTATTCATCCACATCGTCTTTAAAGAGCTGTTCTGTTTCCCACGGATTAGTAGTTACTTAAGTTATCAGAGAACCATACCCTCACGAATATAGTGCAAGTAAATTATTCAACAAATACAGATTGAGGATATACTGTGTACCCAGCGGTTGACAACCAGAAGAACACGGGGATCAGAGGCACCTGTTCTTGGGTAAAGTTGAGCAGACAGACCACTTTTTTACAATACAGCGTGAAAAGTGTCATGGTTATACCTAGAGGACTATTAATTCAGTCCAGGGAGTCAAAGAGGACCTCCCGGGGAAGGTCTGTGCAGGTAATTGAGGGATGATTTAGCCTAACTCTCCGGAATATTTTTGTTCTTTATTGCCAGACAGCCTCAAAACTCTACCAGATATCGAGAAATCAGTTTTCTCAGGCTGCTTATTCCATTTCCCTCTGATTCAAAATGATAAAAATTCTTGAGTATAAAACAATAATAAAATAGTTATCTACATGAAGTAATACTTGTATTTTTTAGTTTTTCAAAGTTCACATATATTATCTGATCCTTTGGTCAATAATTTGATTAGAACTATTACTCTGATTTTATATTTATGTATGTACGTACGTATGTATTTATTTTTTTTTTGAGATAGGGTCTTGCTGTGTCGCCCCAGCTGGAGTGGAAGTGGTGAAAACACGGCTCACTGCAGCTCAAGATCCTGGGCTCAAGGCATCCTCCTGCTTCAGCCTCCCAAATAGCTGGGACCACAGACACGTGCCACCACACCTGGCTATTTTTTATTATTATTATTACTTTTTGTAGAATCAAGAGTCTTCCCATGAAGGTCAGGATGCTCTTGAACTCTTGGGCTCCACCTTGGCCTCACGAAGTGCTGGGATTACAGATGTGAGCCACTGCACATGCCTACTCCCATTTTAGAAAGAAAAAAAAAATTAAGATTTAGAGGTGTGCCTTTCTAGCCAGTAGTTACACGAGGCTATTTTTTTATTTTTCTGAGTGTTTATTATTTATTTATTTATTTATTTATGTATTTTAATCGCTTTTGGGGAACAGGTTGTGTCTGTTTACATGAATAAGTTCTTTAGTGGTGATTTCTGAGATTTTGGTGTACCCATCACCTGAGCAGTGTACACTGTACCCAATGTGTAGTCTGTTATCCCTCACCATCCCCTACCCTTTCCCCTGAGTCCCCAAGTCCAGTGTATCATTCTTATGCCTTTGCATCCTCATAGCTTAGCTCCCACATATAAGTGAGAACGTGCAACGTTTGATTTTTCATTCCTGAGTTACTTTACATAGAATAATAGTCCCCAATTCCATCCAGGCTGCTGCAAATGCCATTATTTTGTTCCTTTTTATGGCTGAATAGTATTCCATGGTATATATATGCCACATTTTCTTTATCCACTCATTGATTGATGGGCATTTTGACTGGTGCCATATTTTTGCGATTGTAAATTGTGCTGCTGTAAACATGCATGTGCAAGTTTCTTTTTTGTATAATAACTTATTTTCCTCTGGGTAGATACCTAGTAGTGGGATTGCTGGATGAAACAGTAGATCTCCTTTCAGTTCTTTAAGGAATCTCCATATTGTTTTCCACAGTGGTTGTACTAGTTTACATTCCCACAAACAGTGTAAAAGTGTTCCCTTTTCATTGCATCCATGCCAACATCTTTTTTTTTTTTTTTCCTATGGCCATTCTTGCAGGAGTAAGGTGGTATCACATTGTGGTTTTGATTTGCATTTCCCTGATAATTAGTGATGCTGAGCATTTTTCCTTATGTTTGTTGGCCATTTGTATATCTTCTTTTGAGAATTGTCTATTCATGTCCTTAGCCCACTTTTTTAATAGAATTGTTTATTGTTGTTGTTGTTTTTCTTGCTGATTTGTTTGAGTTCTTTGTAGATTCTGGATATTAGTCCTTTGTCAGATGCATAGTTCATAAAAATTTTCTCCCACTCTGTGGGTTGTCTGTTTACTCTGCTGATTATTTCTTCTGCTGTGCTGAACTTTTTCGTTTAATTAGGTCCCATCTATTTATCTTTCTTTTGTTGCATTTGCTTTTGGGTTCTTGGTCATGAAGTCTTTGCCTAAGCCAATGTCTGGAAGGGTATTTCTGATGTTATCTTCCAGAATCTTTATGGTTTTGGGCCTTAGATTTAAGTCTTGATTCATCTTGAGTTGATTTTTATATAAGATGAGATATGAAGATCCAGTTTCATTCTTCTATATGTGGGTTGCCAATTATTCCAGCACTATTTGTTGAATAGGATGTGCTTTCCCCACTTTGTGTTTTTGTTTGCTTTATGAAAGATCAGTTGGCTGTATTTGGCTTTCTTTCTGGGTTTTCTATTCTGTTCCATTGGACTATGTGCCTATTTTTATACCAGTACCATGCTGCTTTGGTGACTATGGCCTTATAGTATAGTTTGGAGTCGAGTAATGTGATGCCTCCAGACTTGTTCTTTTTACTTCATCTTGCTTTGGCTATGTGGGTTCTGTTTTGGTTCCATATGAATTTTGAAATTGTTTTTTCTACCTCTGTGAAGGATAATGGTGGTATTCTGATGGGAATTGCATCAAATCTGTAGATTGTTTTTGGCAGCTTGTTCATTTTCACAATATTGATGGTACCCATCCATGAGCAAGGGATGTGTTTGTTTTGTGTGTGTGTGTGTCACTTATGATTTCTTTCAGCAGTGTTTTGTGGTTTTCCTTGTAGAGGTCTTTCACATCCTTGGTTAGGTATATTCTTAGGTATTTAAATTTTTTGCAGGTGTTGTAAAAGGAACTGAGTTCTTGATTTGATTCTTGACTTGGACACTGTTGGTGTATAGTAGAGCTACTTATTTGGTTACATTAATTTTGTATCCTGAAACCCTGCTGAATTTATTTACCAGTTCTAGGAGCTTTTTGGATGAATCTTTAGGGATTTCTAGACATACGATCATATCATCAGCAAACAGTGAAAATTTGACTTCCTCTTTTCCTAATTGAGTGCCCTTTATTTCTCTCTCTTGTCTGATTGCTCTGGCTAGGACTTCCAGTACTTTGTTGAATAGAAGTGGTGAAAATGAGCATCCTTGTCTTGTTCCAGTTCCCACTGGGAATGCTTTCAACTTTTCCTTGTTCAGTATAATGTTGACCGTCAGTTTGTCATAGATGGCTTTTATTACCTTAAGGTATGTCCCTTCTATGCCAATTTTGCTGAGGGTTTTGATGCTGGATTTTGTCAAATGCTTTTTCTGCATCTGTTGAGATGACCATGTGATTTTTGCTTTTAATTCTGTTTATGTGGTATATCACATTTATTGATTTATGTATGTTAAACCATCCCTGCATCCCTGGTGTGAAAACTACTTGATCATGATGAATTATCTTTTTAATATCCTGTTGGATTGAGTTAGCTACTATTTTGTTGAGGATATTTGCATCTATGTTCATCAGGGATATCAGTCTATAGTTTTCTTTTTTCGTTATGTCCTTCCCTGGTTTTGGTATTAGGGTATACTGGCTTCATAGACTGATTTAGGGAGGATTTTCTCTGTATTTTGGAATACTGTCAATAGGATCGGTACCATTTCTTCTTTGAATGTCTGATAGAATTCAGTTATGAATCCATCTGGTCCTCGACTTTTTTTTTTTTTTTTTTTTTTTTTTTGCTATTTTTCTATTACCATTTCAATCTCATTGCTTGTTATTGGTCTGTTCAGAAATTCTATGTCTTCCTGGTTTAATCTTGAAGGATTGTATATTTCCACAAATGTATCCAACTCCTCTTGGTTTTCTAGTTTATGCACGTAAAGGTATTTATAGCAGCCTCGATAACCCTTTGTATTTCTGCGTTATCAGTTGTAATATCTCCCGTTTCATTTCTAATTGAGCTTATTTGGATCTTATCTCTTCTTAGTTAATCTCGCTAATGGTCTATCAATTTTATTTATCTTTCCAAAGAACCAGCTTTTTGTTTCATTAATCTTTTGTACGTCTGTTTGTTTGTTTATTTGTTTGTTTGTTTCAATTTCATTTAGCTCTGCTCTGATCTCGGTTATTTCTTTTCTTCTGCTGGATTTGGGTTTAGATTGTTCTTGTTTCTCCAGCTTCATGAGGTGTGACCTTAGATTATCTATTTGTACTCTTTTGGACTTTTTTATATAGGCATTTAATGCTATGACCTTTCCTCTCAGCACCGCCTTTGCTGTATGCTAGAAGTTTTGATAGGTTGTGTCACTGTTACTGTTCAGTTCAAAGAATTTTTAAATTTCCATCTTGATTTCATTGTTGACCCAATGATCATGCAGTGGCAGGTTACTGAATTTTCATGTTGTTGCATGGTTTTGAGGGTTCCTTTTGGAGTGGATTTCCAATTTTATTCCACTGTGGTCTGAGAGAGTAGTTGATACAATTTCAATTTTCTTAAATTTACGGAGACTTATTTTGTGGCCTATCATATGGTCTGTCTTGGAGAATGTTCTATGTAATGATGAACGGTTGTTGAGTAGAATGTTCTGTAAAAATCTGTTAAGTCCATTTGTTGTAGGGTATACTTTAAGTCTATTTTTTGTTTTTTGACTTTCTGTCTTAATGACTTGTCTAGTGCTGTCAATGGAGTATTAAATTCCCCCACTATTATTGTGTTGCCATCCATCTCGTTTCTTAGGTCTAGGAGTAATTGTTTTATAAATTTGGAAGTGCCAGTATTAGGTGCGTATATATTTAGAACTGTGATATTTTCCTGTTGGACTAGTCCTTTT